GTGGATGCAGATTGCTATGTGCAGCATCCTTCTGAGGGGTGGAAGGTGCTATCTCTCACTGGATAGGATCAAAAACATCTTTCCTCGGGAACTGATCGTTGGCATTTCTGTTTTTCAGCAGGAGAAATTGTCACATGCTCCAGGTCACCCCAAGGATTCTGATAAATGCCAGAACCAGTCACTTAATTAATAATTCAAGGGTAAAAGTTGCAGACAAAAAAGCAAACTGGTCCGCAGGCAAGCCATATGTCTGTTTGGAGCAAAGAGCGATCATAATATAAATGACCATCAATCACAGAGGAAGTGAGAGAGAATGGCACACAGCTTTTATCATAGATCTTAGACCAGAAAACAAGCATTTTTAGCAGTCTCTTTATTAATAGTAACTGGTTGAGACAACATTTGTGGAAGGCCAGAAATGCTAACTATATATCCCCATAGGTATATAATGCAACAATGAAAGGTGAGGATACTCTGTCACAAATTAAAAGGAGGGAAAGATAGAATTAAACTTCCTGGGGAAAAACCAACAGACCATTTTCACCACTGTTTATAACGTACTGTCAGATACAAGCTTATTGTAAAGCTTAGTTAATTACTTGTTCGATGTCACGAATACTGAAGCAAGTCCCTTTGGTGTTCATGGTGGAGAAGAGAGAGGCGGAAGCCTGGAATTAACTGGAAATACATGCTTAGCACTCAACAGTTTTTCCAAACATAACCAACACATGTACACATATCCTCTGGGACTCGGTGATTGTTGTAAAAAGCCCTGTGGATCCTGTCTCTTCTTCTTCTAAAGAATTGGCATGTCTGTGTATTCCAACCTGCCAGTCTAGAAGAATCCCAACAGCACATGACTTTACTTGATGGCACCTACTCTGTCAGTCTGTACCATCCTTTTTCTAAACACTTCATCCCATTCCGGGTGACAGGAGAGGCAGGGCAATGCTAACAACTGCACCACCACACCACCGTATACTTTGAAAATTATGACTCAGTTTTCCTTCAAGATACTTTAAAGCAGGTAAATGGTGCAAATGGCTTGTTCTCCTGCCTGAAAGTAACACCAGTTGTTCAGAAGTGCATCACACCCACACAGCCCTCCTGAATTAACTTCAGTATTGTGGGGGAATGAAGTGAGAATTATGTGCAAACACTGTCTGCTTTTGTTGATTTCACAACAACTTCGGAATTTAAAGGTTTTGCAATCCTGGGAGTCTGATCTGATTTTAATTACTGTTTTCTGTAAATACCTTGCCATTGCATTTTTAATACATCCGTAAATTGTTTGAAATGCATCTCTTTGCTTTGTCCATTGTTCAGTGGGTGCACACGTTAGATTCAGGGAAAGCGGATCATATTGAGTAAGTCATGCTCATACTGTCTAGAAAAGAGGAAGCAACTGATTATTTTTAAAAACTGTCAGCATTGTATATGGCATTAATTTTACAGGCTCCTTTCATTTGGTTCCAAGGTATTTTCACAATTTAATTGCCTTTGTGGACTCTAGGGAGGTAATTGTATGTGAGTATTTAGTGATGGATCAGCAGTACATTTCAGAAATATAGCTTTAGCTTTTCTGCTAAAAGTATGTATTTCTCTTAACATGCTCTCAGATTTCTCATCTCAATGTTTGAACAAGTGCACAACATGTGGTGTTCTTTTTTGTTATGTATTTAATATTGCGAAACTCACAAATTGTGAAAAAACTAGGGGATCCATTGCTTTATAGGTGTGGTGAAGAATGTGAGCGCAATAACAGTAAAAGAACACTGTGTACTGAAAGATTTAATTTGGTAGGCCACAGGGTACCCAGAGGGCAAGCTTGAATTATATGTTGAGAAGCAGGCAAGAAGTTTGCTGAATCAAAATGATGATACTTAGTGAACATTTAGAAGACATAAGGAGTTCATCACAAACTGCCTGAAGGTCCTTTGAAATTGTGATAAAATAAACTTCAGGATCATTTCACTGACTTTTAACTGGAAACACTAATGCCTATCTTAAAGAACAGGGCAACAGATGGTGGAAACAGCATGGAGAAATCGATGTACAGTGAATATTTGTTTACAGCATTTTGTACTTTGAGGCTGCAGTGTGAATCCCGCTCAATGGTCCCAGAGCAGCAACTGTACATTGTCATGGAGCCTATTTTGTTGTGTTTTCCTTTTCTGAGTCCGACTCAAGAATTCACAGTGAAAAATAAAGCGAAACACATTAACACATTAGATTAAGGCTTGTTTCTAATCTGTTTTCATGACCCCACAGCTGCGTGTCTTAAAATGTCTCAAACGTGATGCGCTCTTTTCAGAGGAGTGCCAAGTCTCTGCCCTTTCGTTTTCTGCTGATGTTTTTCAATTTAGTTTTTGCACCTGTGATCCATCTGTCTATAAGCAGATAGCTGCTTGGTCAGCAGAACTTATTGTGTTAGGATCTTTCTTAAGTGGTGTTAAGACTCCTTCTGGAATTTACAATTCAGCCATAAACCCCTGACAGAAAGATCAATGAAGCTTGATTCTGTGATATCAGAAGTAAGTTCTGTTCTCACATTTCCTTTCATCATTCAGTTAGTTATCTTTCTTTGTCTTTGACACAGTGAGTTGTCATGCAATAGCCCCTTAAACAAAGAATTAGATTAGTGTGAAGTGTCTATGTCTGAGTAAGATTAATACTCATTGTAAATTAGCGTAAAATATCAATGAATACATATGGTGCACACTGCTTTTCTGCTTAAAGTATGTATTTCTCTTAACATGCTCTCAGATTTCTCATATAAGTTCTCATATAAGTAAAGCAGAGAACATGAGATAACAAACAAGCATCAATGCCTTCATTGATTCAGTCATAGGATCTTCAGCTCCTTAATTTCCCGGTTCAGCATAACTGAAATTGTCTGTGCATGGGTGGTGAGATGCAGATTCAGATTGCAGGATGTATATTTGAACAGGTGATTTGTTCAAGAAATACGTTTTATGGCATTTGCTTCTGATAAAATATTACACCATGGCAAGTGGGGTCAAAATTTAAATGTGTTAATATCAGATCTTTTCTTTTCTCCATGATGCATTTATAGTAATATTTTATACCTTATTTGTGGTATTTTGTGCAGCTGGTCTTGTGAAGCTTTTCTACAGATTTGTTCTGTAAATTCTCTAAGAGAAAAGGTCAGTATTAAAAAATAAAATTAACTCTTTCCCTTGTGGCTTAGACCAACATCAAGCGTGTCTTACAACCCAAATGTGTCACATCAAGACTTCTTAGTGCTCACCAAACTAGAACAAACCAAACATTATAGCCAGTACACTGTCGCTACCCATTTTTTTTATTTAAACCCCAAATCTTATAGTATGTCTTTATATGATTTTCAATGCAGACAGGGACAAAGGATAAGAATTAAATATATTTTATCACATTGATTCATGCTAAATAAAGATTTTTATGGGTTTATGTTAAAGGGTCAACATAAACTAGAGGGGAAAATGGTTCACTCAAAATATATCCTGTATTATCAGATAATAAGATTACACATGACAATAATTGAAGAAGAATAACATATTAAGAATAATATGTCTAAATAATTCCATTTAAAATTATATATTTTTAAGGTAGCCAGGTCACACCACCCAGCCATAAAAATAACAAGATTTGTCTTGGTGACAGCAAATGTCAGCTTTAGACTCATCCTATGCCTGTCAGTCAAGTACTTTTATTATTCAACAACTGAAATTACTGTTGTGCCATCACAGTTATTTTAAGCATTTTAGTCTTCGTTGGTTAAATAATGTTCAGTTTTCAAAAATTGGTTCATTATGGGTCACTGGGTCTCTCGTGGGTCTTTTTTTTATTTAGAGAAAGCTGTGTGAATCATGTCATAGTCAATCTGCTCAGTAAAAATGGAGACGCAAACACATCTCACATTTATCATCCTCCTCCAAGATACAAATATTTTTTCCGTCTCCTTTTCATGGCTCAGGCCTGAGGCTATGAGGCCTGTCATATAGTAACACGGAGTGCTTGCTCTTAACATTCGGTTTTTCAGCGCCTATACCTTCTTTAAGGACATCTTCCTTGGGCTCCATGCTTCACTGCCTCTCACTACAATCTGGAGGCTCTAGATCAGAGGAAGCCAGTAGAAATGTCCTTCAAGCCAGATCGTAAAATGTAAGAGCCACTGACCTCCTAGTACTTGAACTCTGTTAATTACTTACGGTTAGATTGACTCTTTTACAGATTTACTTTTCCTCCTGTTCCTACCTACTAAATGCACAGCAGTGTATATTTTTTCATGTTTGCTTTGCTTTATTTTCTTATCAAAGCAGAAAAAAACACCCCAATCTTTGGTAAAAATTACCTTAGTGTGTTGTATTGGAGTGGCTATTCCAATCACTTTTAGGTGACAAAGGGATTACCTTTGGACTGGTAGTAAAATTAACATATTTTATGTGAAGATTGACAGTTTGTTAAAATAAGGGATTTATACAGTGTATTGTCTTTTATTTAAACATAAACATATCTACTTTTACTTCTGTTCCTACCTACTAAAATATACTGTATATTTATTTTCATGCATGTTTTGCTTCATTTTCTTATCAAAGAAGAAAAAACATCTGAAATCACTTTTAGAATCACTTTTAGATCACAAGGGATTACCTTTGGACTGGTAGTAAAGTTTTTAAATTTGACATGAAGTTTGATAGAGTCTGTTAAAACAAGGAATTTATATTGCCTTTTATAATATGCCAAAAGGGATACTGTATCTATCTTGGTTTATGACTTTATGCTATAAGAGCAAGGAATAAAAATCTCTTTGAAATAAGAATGCAATAGACTAAACCTTGTTTCCATAATGTATTTCAGATATATGTAGTTTATAATAAAAAGATCAATATATTTATATAAAAAGATCACTAACTTTTGTTTTTGTTGGTTTTAAAACTCTGTATTGTACATCTTTTAAAATAATGTTAAAGTGTGTTTTATTTTGATGTTTCCCACAGGAACCTGGGTGACTTTTGGAGGTCAGATTTCAGATGAGGTGAGAGAACAATTAGAAAGCAAATTCACATTGTAAAAAAAATCTTGCATTATTTTGTAAAAAGGTTTCACTCTGAAAAATACAGCAATCATTCATTCCTGAGCTGGTAAATTAATAAAAATGTTTAAAGTCCCAAAAGTGATTTTATTTTTGTAACCTTTTATATCAATAATCTAAGGAGTATTCGGTCATCACTGGAGGCACTTTCAGAGACTGGACACTCTTAATCGTATTTTTGAGCCAGTATCTTGTGCTTGCATTCATATATTCATCACTCAAATACAACAAATGATAGGCAAAAAGCCCATTTTTGATTTCATAACTTCTGCATCTTCAATGCTTATTTAATGCCCTTCTGTTCAGAAGGGAAAATCCAGCTGCAACTGGAATACAGTGACCCAGAATTTTTTTTAACGGTGTGAAACATGTGTCACAGCTCTTTTTTAACCAAGGTCATCATTAGGGGCTTTCTGGTGTAGAGAGATTAATTTAAAAATGGCTGTCATTTCTGTGTGGTTTAATAATTAACCTCACTCAGCTCCCAACAAACATATACAGTACATATACAGTACCAATATGAATTTCATGATCATGTTTGTGAAGAGCACTGATGAGTTATATGAAGAGTAAGCTCTAACTTTATGCATCACACATAACCATATGGTACTGCTGTGTTACTGTGCTCACAACTGATGCTTAGGGCTAGATTTGCTTACAAGGATTCTGGAAATAGTTGAATTTACATCCACTCCATTCTGTAACCCATCCTGCTTGGATACAGTCGTTTTCTCTCAGATATTCTCCCCTGTTAGGAAACACATGTTCTAGTCTCTAAAGTACCAACCAATTGTCTGGAGAAACTTGTATTATAACAGGAGAGTTTGAGGGAAACACAAATGACTTAAACCACTATTTAGTCTTTTCTATTACCTTATTAAGCAGGGTTTGTGGGTTGGCCATTTATCAGCTATATTTGTACATAGATGTGGTGTATGTACTTTATTAACAGTATCTGAAATACACTTACAAGACAACTTCGGTTTAAAGCAACTTTCACTGAAGGATATGCTGTGTGCCCATATGAAAAGAGCACAGTTAATTAATGCAGTGACTGAAAGTCCAAGACTTTTCCTGATCACATATTAATTTCAAAAAGCAGCATAATTTATGCATGATATTACAAAAAGGAAACTAGTAAAACACTACATTTGCAACACAATATGTATAACATATTCCAATATCATATAAACTCTCTTTTGGCATGTTGTGTTACTGTACATTGATATTGCTATGCAAATTGTGTAAGTTGTGCAATAAGCACTGATATAGTTTTGCTTCAAAAGCCATGAAATATCACATTTTCTTTCAGTAACTTGACAAGACTGATTTGTCTTTTCCCTATACTTGATATTTTCTTTAGTATTCTGTGGCTCACTAAAGTGGAATATCTTTTATTATCTGTTTGGAACAGCTACCACCTTCAGTTTTCATGCCTTCCTTCAACAATCTTGTACATCTGCCAGAAAACTTGATGAATTGTTAGAACAGTAAAAGACACCAAGCAGATTCTCCGAGGGAAAGTGTTATTTGATTAAAGCAATCCTGCAAAAAGACTGTGTTAAGGTTATCACTTTCAAAGGGAAACTTGTGCAAAAATTAACAATGACAACAAATTCACTTATAATGCTGAATCGACATGTAATGTAAAAAATGATGTTGTGGATTCTTTGCAGTATTATGCTAATTTATTACTGTGCTACCCAAAGTAAATTCTAAAGCAAACAGTCTTGCTTCGCCATTTGAGTGAAACTCGCTACAGGCCAGGGTGAGAGAGGGATAACAGATTTTAATGGACCAAATAATGATGAAGAATAGTAGTTTCTAACATGTTACAGGACAGTAAGCAAGGTTTGGCTGAAAAAAGGAGAGCTGCAAACTAGGACCTATCGTTCAGCAATCATTTAGGTTTAATTTCTACAGGTGGCGGAACGGCTAATGACAATTGCTTATGAGAACGGAGTAAATCTCTTCGATACTGCAGAGGTTTATGCTGCTGGCAAGTAGGTGAAATTCATCATCTACCTAATTCTTTATGTGTGTGATATGATGTGGAATTCCTGTACTGGAATCCCAAAAGAACCTGCATCCTGACTGAAGTTGTGAGTTATACAAATCATACATGTCCTTTTTCACAATGTCCTTATAATCAAAGTGCTTTGAAGCAATGTAATGAAACAAGTTTAGGTACACTGCAGTTATTTAACCAGAAGTATAATTAATAGGTTGTGCTTTGTTAATGTTATCAACTAAATCGGCCTTCATGATTTGGAAACTTGTTTAGTTGTAAAAGATTTTTAACATTAATTAAAATACTGTTTGCAGTGCTATATATCTGCAGCCCTGAGTTCCAGAAAATACTGAAATGTTTCAGGTTATAATAATGGGTCCTTTGTGCTTTCTAGAGCTGAGATCATATTGGGAAACATCATCAAGAAGAGGAACTGGAGGTAATCTTATTTTGTACTTGTATGTTTTTCTTTTGGAAAGCATGCTAGGTTTCTCATACAACTAAACAAAGTCGTGTGTGAGAAATGTGTTTGGATAGTTGAATGATTGCAATGTGTTTTATTTCTTGTTCTATAGCTTCCGTGCTGTTTAAGCAGTCTAGTATGTCAGTCCGTAATGGTAACTATAGCAACAAATGCCTTCTATCTGCTATCTATACTGGAAGTTTAAGTACAGTTTCTGAGATCTGTCATAGGTGGCCTGTTGACCAGAGGCCAGGCTCAATTCAACTGTTTTGATTAAAATTGCACATCGCCAATTATTTTTTATCTCGCACCAGCCCAAACAGGGAGTCACCTCTGTACTTTCGTGCTCACAGGAAGGATCCCTGCTCCCACATGGGGATAAAGAGGAAGTGACAACACGCCTCTGACCCGCCCACCCCTCACACCAATCATCTACTCACATGTTAGGAACACTGCAGTGCCATGCTGGAGGGTCAGGGCTGACGGGAGAAGAGGCTCTTGGCACTGCAGACACCAGGGGTGATGCAGGGGTCACTGATTTCCTAGGATCTGGCAGAGCCATAACCATCTACCTTTGTCAAGGGATCTGGTGGGATTTCTAATGGGAAATCCCAGACATGGTTGATTTGATTAAAAAATTCAAGATATTAATCTTACTGACTATAAGCCCTGTACGAGGCATGAAGAGGGCTTTGAAGGACCCATAGGAAATGTGTTTGTCTTAATGTCCTTAATCAGGGCATCTGTAAAAACAAACTTGCCAGAATGAAAGTGATAAGTGGATTTGAGAATTGAGAATGTAACCCCAAATAGATTTTAGAGAGCCGGTCAGTTTTCTCCCTTTTAAATAAGGGATCCAGTCTTTAAAATCCAGAAGAAGCTGTGAACTGGCAGCCAGCAAAATCATATTGATGGGGTTTTCATTTCAGTAATCAAGTACAGACAATATAAAAAAGATTTATTTTTTTACAGGACCTGTTAATCAGGTCCCAGTAAGATGGAGACAGTAAGACATAATAAAAAAAACCTTAAAGGAAATGCATAAGTTGCTGTATTTCCTCATTAAATTAGACCCCACTGCTTAATACAGCCAGCTAAAGATTGTTTGAAACCATACGTAAAAAAAAATATTCCTCAACCTTCTAACCTCTAAGTAATTCCCTTGAAAATCTTATTGTTATCCCTGCCCTTGAGATTAGTGACATCTAGTTTAATCATGTTTATTTATTTTCTACAGCACATCTTGCAAATCCTATCTCAGCTCTTATGTTAGATCCAAAGACTCACATTATTGTGATATCACCATAATCTTTATTTTTAATAATATAACTAATTTTAAATCATTTCTGCAGATGAGGTGGCATTAAGCTACAATTTCTGAAGCACATGCTTTTGAATAATGTACCTAATGTACCTCTACAACGTACCAATGGTTTCTAGCTGTGCAAATCTAAGGATTCATTTTCCCGAGCTATAAGTCAGCAAATCTTTTTGAGAGTAAATCTATGCATGAAATGTTCCAGAATGCGAGGTATATCTTTCTTATGGGAAACCAGCTTATTAAGGTAGAACTGCAGCTGTGTTTATGAGGAAAGAGACAACAGAAATGACAGAGAGAAATTCAGTTTTATTCAAGGGAGAATATAAACTATGGAATGATACAATACGATAGCAAATAATAATCCTATACAATAGAGTAGCAATAGCAATGGAGCATGAGTCTGTTCACAAAGAAAGTTTTAAGGAATGTGAAACAGCATTATAACCATTATATTAACAGAAAATATGTTTAAGGCAATGTTTTAAATTATTTCCTTGTGCTTAAGCACTGCCCCTGCCGTGAGAGTTGGTCCCAGCTTCTCTGAAGGACCATACTGCTCAATTCAATACAGAGTGATAAATAGCACTGATGGTCTAAGTGTTCCTAGACTGTGCCTTTGCCGAAATCAATTAGCTGGTTTCTACAAACATGAGCCTCTTCAAAGAAAATGGATATGACAGATGCCATTATGTTAAATTCCATTATTCTAATATCATTTTTACTAGCTTCAACTGAATAAGCATTGACAGGTATTTATTTGTTGCATGTGTCTGAGCTCAAGTACTCTTGTGATTCTAAGATGTATTTGTAATTTTATCCATTGCCGCTACACAGGAACTAAGTTAAATGTATTATGTTTCTGACTCTTAAGGGCCTGCTCACAGTTTTCGTTGAAGATTTTCTTTAAAAAATTTTTTTACAAAAATGTACACCTCTGTTCAATAAAGCAGACTGTTCAAGAAGGTTTGAACTCTCTTCTCTGCAATCCTCCTTTCTGTGTTATGAAAATGTATTATAACTTTTATTGTTCACTTAAAGATTAGCAATACTTGTTTATCACACATGCTATAAGTCAGTATTGCTAGTTTCTTCTTATCAAAGAGATAACATGTGGCTGAAAATGTTTTGTCTGGGGCTGAGAGGTGTTGAGGGATAATAACTGATTTATAGCATTAGCATTCTCCCTGTATTCTTCTGAACAGGAACACTGGATGCTGTCAGAAGTACAAGCCTTGGTGTTGCTAATTCACCCATCTAAATAATATGAACTCTGCAACCTTCAGATTAAACATTTTTCTTCTCCAATTTAATGTCATACTCAGGGTCCTTCAGAAGTCTTCATAATAGGAAAGATATTGCAAAGACCTAGCACAGTATCCTGCTTGTTCCCACCTGTTGGAAACTTAAAGAACTATAATATTATATATTAATCTCTCACACCTGAAGAAGGCTCCACAGCTGAAACGTTGTGTTTTCTCTCGTCTCTTTTCAGCATGGAATAAACCTATTACTTGTTCCTTTGCAGCCTACGCATGCTGATGCAGCTACCCACCAATAATATTATATGACTTGACCTTAAATATAAACTCCTCCTTCACATATAAGATAATACCCTTTCTTTCTAGAAGCATTACGTCAGACCACTATTATAAAACAGAAAATTGAGTGAGCAGTCTGATTTTTAGCATGATGTGTTGAAAAACAAATTAAAAATGCATGACAAGCCCACAGTTTACATTGGTACAGAATGTAGGACAACGACAGGTCCACATGGTGCACTGTCACTTAATTTACATTCATTTACAATTTAAATGAGCTGCAGCTATCACTAGCAAGCAAAAATGATACTGAATGCACTTGTTAATATATAGGGCAACAACGGCCATTCAAGATGTGTCCTTGATCTTGTAAAACTTTTCGCTCTTTGTGTAATAATCCTCAGCAGCCCTTTTTTAGAACAACTGCAGTTTCAGCTTTAGGCTAAAATGACAGCACACATAACTGCCTATTGAATTGTTTCTGCCCATCATTTCCTTGAACAATGTCCTAGTGATAGTGAAAGGTCATGGGCAAGTGATGTGGGGAATTAATCTACTTTCCTCTTAGTTTCTGTGAGTATTCGCTGTATAAACCTCTCAGTTACTCTTGGAGTTGCTGTACAGCATATACAGTGCCCTCACAGCCCCATTCCTCATTCCAAGTCCCATTCCATTTCTCTAGCGCGTGCATCCATCCCGTCTCGAGTTCATGGACATGGAAATGAATTATTCTTTGCAGGAGGATTTAATGTTTGGAAATTCTCAATATTAAGTTAATGGACTCATACATTAACTTTATAAAGGTGCATCTGTCAGTATTTTGTATGTCTGGAGTAACTAATAAAAGTGTTTTATTTTCTTGATTAGCATTATAAATCATTTTTATCTTCTGTCTGAGGATATTAAAACATGTTTACAACATTTCTGTCATTAAAACTAAACAGAATTGTAAGGTGTGATCTATATAATGTTACTGCTATTTTCTGTTTAAACATTTTTAGGACTCTTTCTACAGATCACAGCAATAAACCTATAAAAAACAACTGTTATTATTTAAGAAAAGCATCTTTTGGCCATTTTGAGAGCATTGTTTAGCTAAATTTGTTCAGCTTCTTTGTTTGATAATTGCATCTAAAATTAGCTGTGCAGTAAAAGTACAGAGACATAAGGAATTCTGTTAATGGCCTGACTGCAGCAGAATCTTTGGTGCTAATTATACTATTTGCCTCTGGATTTGTTTGAACAGGAGATCCAGTCTTGTGATAACAACTAAGCTATACTGGGGAGGAAAGTAAGTTTGGAGTTCTGAAGTTTTCTTCTCACTTTTTCACTGGTTTATCAGTCGCTCACTAAGGTTTCTTTGTATGTATACCTCTCTGTATATCTATATAACAGAATCATTTGATTTCAAATCCTTACATTTTGCATACAAACAAAAGGAGACTATTCAGTCTCTGTTGGTTGGCAGCTAACTGATTCAACGATCTCACACAGGCATTTCTTGAATGGAGCCAGAGTGTTTTCTTTAAAATAACACTTGTCCGAGGCTTGAACAACTCTTTGTGCACAGAAGTGTCTCCTGTTCTCGATTTAAAAGCACATCCCTTTAGTTTCCAATTGTGTTCTCTGATTCACTTTTCACTTTTGAGCATGAAGCCCATGTCTTCAGTATTTCAATATTTGAACAGAGGTACATAAGTACTCTTTTCTGCTCAGAAACTGAGCTCCTTTTAACCTATCAATATAAGACTTTTTTTGCAAGCCAGGGAATATTCATTGTTGTTTATCCCAGGGTGAGCAAAGCATATATGAAGGAGAAACTCAGTAAATATCAGTACTTTTTCTAGCTACTGTACATGTACTCCTATGAGCTGTACTCCATTACCATGGAATATATTTATTCTTCATAGTCATGTGAATGAGCTCTAACATTTCACTACTGCACTGAGTAAGGTGTCAAACATCTCAGAAGTACGGTTTGTGCAGCATTATGCTAAAATCCTAAAAGGAAGTGTGAATGACACAGCTGTGAAATGAGATAAGGCTAGCAAAACATTTTCCTTTTCTCTGATGAGGCTGGATGGAACAATTCCTCTCTTCTTATAAATATTAATTCCTTTCATGAGCTAAAGGATATATATATATAATGTATTGTGATTATACCAACTTACTGTTCTAGGAGCAATGACAGCTTACTGCCAAATCAAACAGACAGATTGACAGATTAAATTTATTGTATTCACAGGAGGGAGATGTGCTGAACACGTTCTTTTTGTTTTTTTTCATAAGTCACGCACTGATTTCATTTGGAGTTCCTTGACTGCACTGTAGCAATTGCTTGTTAAAGCCTATTACACCCAACTTCAACTGACTTCATCTTTTTTTTCTCTGTTCATTCAGGGCAGAAACTGAAAGAGGACTTTCCAGGAAACACATCATTGAAGGTATATCTTAATTTCACTTAAATATATTCAATATAACATTCTGATGTAACATAATATTACTCAATTTTCCAAAAGCAAAATGAACCGACATCCACTCTTTTCCATCACATTTCATAGTTATGCAATCGTCTGTTGTATGCCATATTTGGAAAACAAGTCTACCATCACACAAAATTAATTTTAATGTTCACATTTATATGATTCATTTAAAAAGAATACAGCATCACCATATTCTAAATTCCACGCAAAATATTTTTGAGTGCCAATTAACGATACACTAATCTAAATGTCTGTTGAGAACAAACTCTAATTGACACTGACAACCTGGAGAGTCTTCACTTGCACAGTGACACATTTATTGGAGGAATGTGAGAGGTGTACTTATCTCAAGTGTACAATAGCAGTATCCCACCAAACTCTAATACTTCTGTTTGGAGTCCAGAGTAATAATTAATAATAATAATAATAATAATAATAATAATAATTACACTTATATAGCGCTTTTTCTGGACACTCCACTCAAAGCGCTTTCCAGGTAATGGGGACTCCCCCCCACCACCAATGTCCCGCATCCACCTGGATGATGCAGTGGCAGCCATAGTGCGCCAGAACGCTCCCCACACATCAGCTATCAATGGGGAGGAGAGCAGAGTAGCCAATTCATAGAGGGGGATTATTAGGAGGCCATGATTAGTAAGGGCCAATGTGAAATTTGGCCAGGATGCCGGGGTTACACCCCTACTCTTTTCGAGAAACACCCTGGGATTTTTAATGACCACAGAGAGTCAGGACCTCGGTTTTACGTCTCATCCGAAGGACGGCGCCTGTTTACAGTATAGTGTCCCCATCACTATACTGGGGTATTAGGACCCACATGGACCGCAGGGTGAGTGCCCCCTGCTGGCCCCACTAACACCTCTTCCAGCAGAAACCTTAGTTTTTCCCGGGAGGTCTCCCATCCAGGTACAGACCAGGCTCACACCAGCTGAGCTTCAGTGGGGAGCCAGTTGTGAGTTGCAGGGTGATATGGCTGCTGGCTTGTACCACACTCTTCTCCGTACTGCTTCCCAGACATTCCATATAGCAGGTGAATTTTTTGCCATTGGTTTTGCAACATTAGTTGGTGTTTTTTACCAAAACTTATGATGGCTTTTATGGAGGTAGAAGCTTCTACCAAAACTAATTAGTTCAATATTCATATATGTATAAATTAGTTTCTGAGAAATTCATATTCATATTCATAAAAAAAGTGGGGAGTTCAGTTTAGGTCTGCCAGGGAAACTTTGTCCTGGAAAATCCTTTGGTTTCCTTTAGGCAATGGCAGACTCATGCTTGTTGTTTGGCTCTACCTGGGGCACAGTACAGAAGATTCGAAATAAATAATGTGCTGGATAGTATTAGCATGCAAAGTATTTTAAACATAGTCCTAATTTGTTTTGTAAAGCTTTGAACGCTGTAAGAAGACAGTTTGTCAGAAAAATTACTTTTGTTTCCATGAGATGCAGTGTGCTGTCAGACTTCATCGAGGACAAAAAGGTTTAATGGTTTTGACCAAATGGTTTTGACAGTGTAGCTGTTTTCTTTAAATCCAGTTGACGCTGGATTACACTGCAACCAGCAACTTTACTTAACTTTTACTACATAGAAGGGGGCTCACTCCTGAGATAAATTTTATATTGTGGTTTTTTGTTCATGTTAGGAAAGGCTAAAAATTAAAACAAGTTGTGTCAGTTTTCAGTCAAAACAAATATCTTACGAATGCAGCGTGCTATAATTTCACAGCTTTTGTGCTTAAGCCTCCTTCATTTATTTTAAAACAAGTTACCCCTAAACAACCAGAAAGCAACAAGATATTAGTTTATTTTCCAGTGAGAAAACATTAAGCATTTAAGAGAGCTATACAAAACATTTAATTTTGTAGATTTGATCACATGTGTGAATTTTGATCAAAATGGAAATTTCCTTTATGAACAGCCAGCCTGTAGATTTATCCCTTTTTCCCATTTTGTTTTACTAGTGTTATTTATGTCTATCATTGATCATATAATATAATAAAATGAATGTTTGATTAGTATTAGTGTTGCTATGAAATTAGACTATCCTCATCCAGCTTCTGATGTTTTGTAGAAGATAGTTGCTTTTCAATATGTCACAAATGAATGGTAAAAAAGTCTGTGACTCGCATAACAGAATAAAATATTTTTGAAAGCACGACTGCATGTTAAATGTAAAATCATTTAAAAGGAAATTATTATAAAACATTGTCTAGCTTAAATGTGATCAAGCATGACCTCCATTCATGTGAAACTGAAAATTACTGATCTTTATCGTAATTTTAGTAGTCTTGAATCACCCAGATTGGGAATGTCCAAGACAAAGGAAAAACTTAAATATTTACCTTTTCCTTAATTACTTTGTGTTTTTACTTTATCTTCGATCATCTTCTTTGAATGTAACCTGTATTTGTGTGTTGTAACATAATTTGGTTTGTTTTAATATTCCTAAAACAGCTGGCAGTGAATTCCCAGAACAAACTACAATTTTGTTACTATTCTTTTGTCTAAATGGGCACCTTTTACCGATGTAAATATGTTTTTATTTGGGGGTTTTATTTTTTTATCATTTATTTGCCCTTGTCATATACATTATGGTGACAAAGACAAAAGTATTTCATTTCATTTAGCATGCTTTCAATAATTAAAAAACATCATCCAGTCCATGTAATTCTGCTTTAGCATATTTGGTACTTGCCTAAATTATTGCTGTCAACTATTAATTGCAAAAGAATACAAATACAAAATAAAAATAGCTAATAAAATGCAATTATGAATAATGCTTTTTTAAACTCAGTTGTTACTGGACTCCGTGTTCTTCATATACTTTTTCATCACATATTCGGGTCTTTTGTGGAGCCTTTTGTCTTTTGTCTTTTGTGAAGTGCTTCTGTTAACTTCTGTTTTTTTTTTACACAAAAAATGATACCCTTGCACTATTTTCTTAATAAACAGATGGTTGAGAATACTGTACATCTCCGAGTGCTGAAAAAAAATGATGCTTCATCAAAAACATTCTATATAAATCGAACTCCCTTAGCTTATTAGTGTACATTTAGCAGAAATAAACGTCTAATCTGACAGCTGGAGCTGGAGCCTTAGACCTGTAGTGACAGTTATACTCTTTCTGTGACTTTGCAGGATTAAAGGGCTCTCTCCAGAGACTGCAGCTGGAGTATGTGGATGTTGTCTTTGCAAATCGGCCGGACAGCAATACGCCAATGGAGGGTTAGTGCGAATTTGGTTTTTTTCTTTGTGAGTGTGCTTCACGTGAATGGCAGCCAATTTGCGGAACAACACTGCTCAGGCAAGATGCAGAGCCCCGAACAGATTATCACAGCAAGCTGATGTTCCGTTCGTGGCAACTGAATCATTTACAGTAACTATAAAATCTCTCACAGGGGATTTAAACTTCTTGTGGTTTATGCTAATACCAGTTTGCATAACTTAGTACAGATGATTACAGCAAGGGGAAGTAAAATATGAGCATTTATAGCCTAGAATTAACAAGTAATTGTTAACTGAAAAACTGAAATTATTGCTGTTTGACTACAAAATGGGCAATAACTACTACTAGCATAGTTCATATTTTCTTACCATTAATTACATAAATCGTTTATTAAAAAATGATTTCTGTATTCTTCAAATGTTGTCATAAATGCCCTTTGTCCCACAGTATGGCCTTACATCTTATGTAAAAGGATATACCACTGCCAGTGGCAGGAAAGTGACATTAGCAGTCACAATGTCACTGGATAAAAAAAGACTGATTCAGTTAATGACCATCATCCAAAGTTCCCCCAAGACAAGCGATTCCAGCTGTTAAAAGACAGATAATGCTCCCTATTGAAGGGGCTGTAAATTTTAAACAAGCTAGTTACCAAAATGGTGACATAGAAATGTTGAAACATGGGGGAGTGAGCATTCTCATTCCTGTCAAGAGTGACAAAGCTGATGGTCGTAATCTTTGCATCATATCACTGTGCTAAAAGGTAACTGCAATTTTAAGAGTGAGATAGTGATATTTTGGGATTCCTTTCTTTCTTACACTTTCATAGCGCTGCTGTCATATACTGTACTTCAGAGTTTGTCTCTTAAACAGCTGGGCACCAGTGCCCTGTCATCTCTAATGAAACCACATGTACAGTATTTTCCACTGCCCTTTTCAGTGTCTGTTCAAGACCTGCTAATAATATGGAAAATGGCCCGGAAACAGTAACCTGGAAGACCAGAACTGCCTTCAAAGGATGACAGCTTTAGGAGAAAAGAAAAAAAAGGTCCAGATATAAAAATACTGTGCAATAGAACTTAGAGGTTACAATAATTTGAAGGGACACTTATATAATTTGTTCTCATCCTTGAACTGGGGTGTAGTTTATCCCAAAGGGTGGACTATGGTACCGTTACAGTACATGATGAGACCTAGTCTCTTCTCACATCAAAGTAGAGCCTCTGACTGCAGGCGTGTTTCTGCTGTTGATGGCGAGCCCTGTACATGCTTTCCTCACAGGACTAGATCTGTGAGAGACCTAACATTTGTTTGCATTTACTGCAGCCTTCAAACAAATTGACTGTGAGCAAGAAGGGACTGAGGCCCTGTTCAGCAAACTCCAACTGCAGTTGTTTACAGATGTGTATTCCTACCAGCTTTTTCTTTGGCAATAATGGGCTCATACAACCCATTCTCAGTTGTATATTCACTTCATGCACAATATTATAAACCCACAATTCCAATATAAAACATCTATCTGATGCTTTGCCATTCTAAGTGATGCACAAGCATAAAAAAGCATAGCTATCAAGGCACAGTATGTATAAATGTGTGTAGACGGTAAAATATATATTTTGGTTTCGATTTTTACAATATTTTTACAGCTTTAATTCTTTGTGAGTGTGAAGCCGTGTCGCTTAATATATTGTTATGTAATATAATAAAGGGCATTCTTACCGCTCAGAATCTTAATAAGAAATTTCAGATTGGTTAATTAAAGCCCCGAAGGTTTTGTCGCTATTATGTGTTGCAGGACATTATTACAGAAAGCACATCCTGGTGCTAAGTTTTTACTGTATAAGTAATCCTCTGACATTAACTGAGGCAGCTTGCAGCTTTGGCATTTTCTTTCTTGTAATGTTCCCCTCGGTATTGCTCAGTCGCTTTAATTTTGCTCTTAATAAAACACACAATCATTTATTCAAACACACAGTGAGCACAGGAAACCAAATGCGTGGTTGCTGTGACAGCCTCTGTTGCACTGTTAAATATCCCGAAGAATATTATTTACCACAGCACTTTGAAACCAGTGGTATTAGTGGTCACAGGGCACATCTCAGTAATGTATGTGCCGGGCTGTGGCACAGTCTCTAATGTAGTTTTTAACAGAGATTCAGGAGGTCAGATTATACTCTCTCCAACATATATATTTATTGTATATGTCTCCTCCTAACCTTCCCTTTGCACACCTCTCTTGCCACCCCAACTTCACCCTTGTAGCAGCTCCCTAGCTCATTCCTTGTGAAAGTGAGGGAGAGTTCAATCAGCCTCATCTTTAATGGCAGGTTCTCCCAGCTAGGTGAGTTACACCAAACAGAATCTAATACATTTGGTCCATATCTACGTTATTGCATTTATTAGGATCTGCCTGAACTACTGAATTAAGTTTTTTATGCACATCGTGCACATACTGTAGCTTGCTGCTTTGCAGGTGGTCTTTCTGGCCCCTAATGAGGTGGAGAAAATATAATGCATAAGAGGTCCTTTAAATGTCTATCATTTCTCTTGGCACTCATCTACTTTGAAGTCATTCATCTTTGCCTCTAACCTAGGTATCTAGATGCAGAACACAATTTCCTAACTCCTTCTAATTCACAGCTTCATCCTTTCAGAGCTTGAAGCTTTTTGTTTTTTTTTCCTAACATGTTAAAACCCTGGGAATATTCTTTTGTTTCATCTGCATCAAAGCTGCTTTGTGGAACCTTAAAATAACCTTGTTATGTTCTTAAAATGGTTGCTAATAGCAGGTTCACGTGCTAGACATCTAGAAAAGCCTGCTGCAGTGAAGGTGATAGTGCAGGACACAGACTGGTAATGTTGGCAAGGTGCTCTTTTGAGGCAAGATGAAAATGATTTCCACACTGTTTAAAAATATAAAAAAGCACAGAATCATACCTTATTAAGTGATCGCTGCACATCTGCCTTTTTTTAAGTTTGTTTGCAGATGTATTCAACAGATCAAAGGGCCTGTAACAATGTCAAAATGTGGTCTCGAGCAGTCAGTAACCAGATAGATATGTAATGTTTGTAATGTATTCCTTTGTTTGCAGATCTGTATTTAGAGTTCAGTTCTATTATTTTCAAGATAAAACAAGAGACTGGAGAAGAAGATTAACTGGACTATATACTGCCTATTTGTATTTTGTTGCTTTTATATGCATTTTGAATTATTCTGATTCAGAAGAAGTCCAACTCATTTCGGGAACCCAGCATTATATGGGATTTATCCTCATAATAGTTCCATCCCACTGTTTTAACCCACTGAAGCTAAGCAGGTGTGAGCCTGGTCAGTACCTGGATGGGAGACCTCCTGGGAAAAACTAAGGTTGCTGCTGGAAGAGGTGTTAGTGGGGCCAGCAGGGGGCGCTCACCCTGCAGTCCAGGTGCTTCCTAATGCCCCAGTATAGTGATGGGGACACTATACTGTAAACAGGCGCCGTCCTTCGGATGTGACGTAAAACCGAGGTCCTGACTCTCTGTGGTCATTAAAATTCCCAGGGCGTTTCTCGAAAAGAGTAGGGGTGTAACCTGGCCAAATTTCCCATCGGCCTTTATCAATCATGGCCTCCTAACAACCCCCCTCTATGAATTTACTACATTACTTTGTTCTCCCCCCCCACCTCCCCCACGCCCCGGTTGGAGTATTTCTCGGTCGCAGTTAATGGCAACGTCAGCTCAAAGATTTGGTGCCGACAAGCGGACCCTGCTGATGCAGGATTAACGCTAGGAAAGAGAGAGTTCCATCCCACTGTTTTACAGCTGGGTACATAGCAAATAGCACCCTGATTTGTCATGTCAATGAAGGACATGAACAGGCCCGGTCAGTACTGGGATGGGCAACGTCTATGGAAATCCAGATTGCTGCTGTACATGATAATGGTAGACCAGAAGGTGGCACTCTTCGCTCCAAACCAGTGCCCTAGTATGTTGGCCTGAGACACTGTTCGGTAGGTGTCTTCCTTTGAAATAGAAAACCTTACAGTCAGGCTGCTGTTCCCCTAACTAGTTAACACCAAACGTTAAAATATTTAATGCACTATACCTTTGTACTCTTTATCTCATTGTACTTAGATTTTTACCTAACTTACAATTCAGAATGAAAGAAAATGTCAATATAGTCAATATACCCGTTTCCTAAACACAAATCACGTATATAGACTTTTCTCTGTTTGCAGTATTAAATGAAACATTACGTAAATAAAACTGTCTTGCACATTTAAAACGTTGTTTTGAACATAATGTACCAACATTTGGATTTTTAATTCCTAACACATTTTTTTCCTTTGTCGCTGTGGACTGGCATTTGTGCCAGCCAAAGTCATTCTCAGTGGCCTGTGTCATCTTCCTGATGGCGGCATCAAGCTCTTCTGGAAAGCATGACTGCAGAAGCTCCTTTCATGATCAGTGATTCTCAGGGTTATGCGTTCTAAATCTAAATGGCCTTGTGTTTGCAGAGAACCTGCTAGATTTTATATTGCGCAGTTCTATTTTTCACCTTTGATGCAATCTGCATTCAGTTGCAGGAATAAATAACTTGTACAGAAAAGTGAATGTTTATTGGTCACCCTGGGTTAGATACTCCAAAGCAATCAGCTGTGAGCTACCAGAAGTGTAGCTGTGAGACTAGGGACATACTTCTATAAAATTGTTTCATAAGCTCTTCAGTGTGCATGTTTAGCCTAGCGTGAGTGGGAAGCTTTTTTAGAAAAAACACGTTTTTTTTTTTACATGCAAATCCAAAAAAGAAACAGAGAATTTTATGTCGCAGACAAAGTTAAAAAGATTTAACATCGTATGTTTTGGAACATTCCAGGTGAAAGTCCTTTCCCAGCGGTTTAGAAATAAATATAAACAAAATGTGAAGCAAAAATGTCATTGTTTGTTAGATTTGTGTACAAGATTTGTTATTGTCAATTTGTGATTTTTTTTCCTTGAAAATTGCGTATCTCATGATAAAGCGTAGAATTAGCCTTGCATAGACCAAATTTAACACCAGCATTTCACAGAAGACTTGTGTAGTCTGAGAGCAGCAATATCAAAGGTTTTACATGGCTGGGCTTAGTGGCAGCTTAGTTCTTAATATCAAAGAATAATAGAGGTTTAAAATGTAAAATAAAACAATGTTTCTGTTCTGGGAAGATAATTGTGAGAAGCTGTATTTGCATGTCTTGTTTCATTAGCTTCTGCCTTAAAACACAGCCCCTCATCAGGTTCTGAACAGAAACTAGCAAAACATAAAGCCCTTCCAGGGCCTCAAAATGGAAATGTAACCTTACACACTGTACTTACTCACAGAAATGGGTCAGCATGGAATAAATGTATTGGAAAACATGAAAGTATTAAGAGATTAAGACAAACCTATGTTTGTGTTTTAGTCCAGTTACTGTATATATATTATGCTGCATATTGATGATTTGATCTGCATTTCCTTAAATATGTTCCAACATTCTTAAAGTTTACGTTCTAGAAATTTAAGGTTTTGTGTCATTTAGGAAGAAAAAAAAACGATTTTTCTTGTTTTCTTTGTAAATAATCGAAGTCTGCCAGCACTAGAAGTAAAACTGACCCCAAATATGACTTTCCCACAGGCAGTTTCTCAAAACATATGACCTACTACCATAATCTTCCTATTAAATACCGGAAAGCTAGGCCAGCTACTCGGTGAGAGATTCAGAATATCTGCTTGTGAAGGAAGAAACTCTCCTGACAGCTTTGCCCTGTCTGAATAACTGTATCACTTCCTTCTGCATTCACAGCTCTTACATCCCACTTCAATCACCCACACAAGTTCTGTTTTTCTGACAGTGTTTGGCCTTGGATACAACAAATGCGTTTTCAATGGAGGAAATTTTGAAAGACTGACGTAAATAACATTTTTGGGGTGGGCTGTTAAGAGAAAAACATTATTCCGGGTTCCCTGCTTACTCTTTATGCAGGTTTAAGTTTAACACTGTAGACATACAATTCATTACCGTTTTGTGTGTATTACATTGCCTGGGCACATCAAAATGAGAATGAATTAAAACAGTCTTGTTAACAAAGGTAATACTGACAAGTCTGTTTTAATGGGGTTTGCAAAAGAATAACGCTGACCATCTGCTCTACAAATCATAACACCCTAAGCCTCCCTATTTCATAAGGAACTATTGAACGGCAAAAGTGATCTCTTAAGCCCCGATGTAGTCATTTTTAAAACGTAAATATTTTTAGATGTCTGTCAAAGAAATTAAAGGTTATGACCATTTGTAAATGGGTTTGTTTTAGAGGAACTTCAGTTTAAGCCAATTTTTCATGCATGTTTGAAAATCTTGATAACTGAAAACCTGAAACAGTGTTAAGAAATACATCTAAGGGCTACTTAGGTCTAAAGTAAATTCGTTATAAAGCACTTGTCACATATCGTTTGTGCTCATTTCTGTCGCTTTTATATATGCAGTTTGCTGCCGTGTTTTAGAATGCATCATGTTTTGTAGGTGCATGAATGTGGACGGGCAATCAAGGAGGACAAATTGACTACTTCAGCCCCGTTTTACATAACAGTCACAAACTACTGTAATGGAAAATGTCAGCTAAATGTGATAATAATCTGAGATTACCATTTATCTCTCTATACAGAGAAATTCTGGTGATCAAGATGAATATATTTTCATACTAAATTAGGTAACAGCTGTGTGCTGTTTTTAACTATTGACTTCGTGGGGTACCAGAGCCACATTAAAACGAATGTAAAAGCGCCACCCTGTGTTGAACGCCTGCATGTACAGTACTGTCTTTTCATCAGGACTGCATCAAGCGAGCTCAAGGCAATATTTCAGCGGAACTTAAAAACGTGTCAGAACCCCAGCCTTCAAATGTGTCTCATGAAACGCGGAAAACTAATATAAAGAGGAATGGGATCTCTTTTTTTTTTGTTAGCTGTATGGTGCAAGGGAAAGAGAAAGTTATAATTTTATGCCAAGTTTTCTTGCAAGAACGGGAAAACTCAGAGCACCGGGGAAAAGACGTTTTGTAACGCTGTGCGTGAGCAGCCAAACGTTAGTACACACGCTTGGTGAACAAAAAAAGCATAGTATCTCAGGGGTTATGTATTGTATAGGAGAGGTTGGTATACATCATGATATTGATTGATAACGTGATATTGATTGAACATGTAGATATTCTCAAGGATCCCTCCTCAGTGTGCATTCATGACTTCACGTGGCTGTGTTTCGACCTCCAGAGATCGTGAGGGCAATGACGTACGTCATCAACCAGGGGATGTCCATGTACTGGGGGACGTCCCGGTGGACAGCAATGGAGATTATGGTAGGCTGCGAATTTAATACTGCTGCAAAAGCTTACTGCGGCTGTTAAACTCCTGCTAGTGTTACTGCTGTATGCCAGTTTATATTTCCTGCTATAAAACGGTATGCCAGTACTTAGGTGATGCATAAAAAAATACCAAACGATGGAAATCCGTGTGTGGTGTTAATACAGTAAACTCAAGAATCTGATATATGTAGAATTTCAGACCTTCGGAATCAAGATTCGGATTTGCAGAAGTGCTTTTTCTGCAAGTCTGCTACTTTAACATGAAACAATTACAAAATTCACACCTTTTTTATCAACTTTTGTTTTTGTTTAATACACTGCTGATTTAACGGAATGTTTTGATCTGTAGTGATTTCTTTGTTGGTCTGGGATGTTTTTTTTTTGTAAAGGGAGGGAGATCGACTGTGAATATGTAATGGATAACTGACAGTGCGTGTAGGAATATCTTCAAACGTTTCTTTTGTTTTAATTTTTTTGGCCGCGCTTCAAATCTGTGTATGCTAATTCCGGTTGATTTAATTAAAATTAACTGAGAGCTTAGTGTGCATTAACACAGAAGAAAGCAGAGTAATTTAAATGACATAAATAATTCATAATAAATACAATTTGACTATCACGCAGCGGTAAAGGAGATGAATTATAATTTGCTGTAATTTGTAACACTGCAATTACAGATCTTCTGCATCCTTTCATTACAGGAAGCCTACTCCGTAGCAAGACAGTTTAATATGATCCCTCCAGTGTGTGAGCAGGCAGAATATCACCTGTTCCAGAGAGAAAAGGTTGAAGTCCAACTTCCAGAGCTTTATCATAAAATAGGCAAGTTTGTATCACCCGTCTTCCTTTAAAACAATCAACAACATAAGGCCATCCGTTTGTTGCTAGTTTTCATTTCTCGTTCCTGTTAAAACGGAACACGCCTCTATAACCTCTCCCCAAGTACTGTAACTTCCTAGACTGTAAAGATTTTAAGATCAGTTTAATGCAGTATAACTCCTGATTAGTATTTTTTAATGCTTGAATCTCTGCTCTGATCGCAACTGACACCAGAATGTGTGAATGATGGAGGCCAGCTATTATTAAAGATGTGTGCCGCCCAGGCACACATACAATGTAACAGCAACAAAACACCTAGCTAAAAATGGAGCAAGCACAAACACACACACACTTATGTGGTCGCTTGACTATGTGCACCATGTACAGGATGACCTGCTCTTGACAGTCATGCAGAAGGATGATACACATACATTTATACCCTTGTGTATCAGTGCTATTTTAAGATCTGTAATGCAGCAGGACTGTTTTAGGAAAGCTGTGGCTGATATGACATCATTGGCTCTATTCAATGTGTGTGTGCAGGTGTGGGAGCGATGACATGGTCTCCTCTTGCCTGTGGCATCATCACAGGAAAGTATGAAAATGGAGTTCCAGAGACGTCCCGGGCTTCCATTAAGGTATGCTGTTACCAATCACAGTGCTAAGGTCCAAACCATCATCCTTTCTGATGATGTTTCTGCCAAGATTTCATTGCAGTTTCTTTTTTTCCCCTGCTGCGTTTTTAAATCATGAACATCTGACACATCGTTTCTTTTCTTTTCTCAGTCGTATCAGTGGTTGAAAGATAAAATACTGAGCGAAGATGGGAGGAGGCAGCAGGCTAAACTGAAGGAGCTCTCACACATTGCAGAAAAGCTTGGCTGCACGTTACCTCAGCTGGCCGTGGGTAAGACAAAGCCCATCAGTGCGGAAACATGCCACAAAGCTCAGCGTGCCGCACCTGGAGCCTTATGTTTATTTTAGAATTCGAGACGACATTGCAGGTGGTGTCGTCTTTTTGAGACCCGTTCAGTTTTAATTGGATCGTTGGGATGGTTTTCTTCAGCCATCCACAGTTTAAGAAGTAATTAAAGTGCAAAGACCAGCATGTGTTCGCCTTTTCAGCCTGGTGTCTGCGCAATGAAGGTGTCAGCTCGGTCCTGCTTGGAACATCTAATCCTGAGCAGCTTACGGAAAACCTAGGTGCTATACAGGCAAGTGGAGCATCTACAAATGTGTGAACCTTGCAGTACTGCACTGTTGCTCTAGAGCTTAGGGATTTAGAAAGCTGCTATTTCGGTGGCATGGCTATTATTGATGCTGGAGTTAGAAAATGCCGAGGGGCTGATGTTTCCTACTTCATGCTCGGTGCACAGCTTGAAACCCACAGAGTCGTATCAATGCCGCACTTCCTCCCACGATTGTGCACTGCACTTCTCTCAGAAAAGGGAAGAGAGTCACGAAATCAAAAGGAAATGTTTGTAGCTCTTGTGGGGATTCTTAACTTGACCAGTTTGGCCTGCATCTCCACTGAAAAATCCAAGCCCTTGCACTTTCTAATATAAATAAATTTGTCTTCCTTCTAGTCAAAATGTAATATCACGTTTGAAAATGGAAACATCCCTCAAATATACTATACAGTACACAGGTATACAATAGCTGCATTGCTACTGGTAACATTTCTCTGCAATTAGAAGTGAAAAATGACCACGTTTTTTTTAAAGCAAAGTGGAAAACTCTGTCCTTTCCCTCTATTGAGAAGTTTTCGATTTTCCCTCCAGGTACTCCCAAAGATGACCTCTCACATAGTTGCAGAAATTGATCACATCTTGGGGAACAAACCCTACACCAAGAAGGACTACAGGTCGTAACCACATGACTTTAGGGACGGTGACTGGAGAGACATGAACCTGCTTCCCGAATAGTCCCACTGAAACGTGGTCTGTGCATCCCCCCCTGCCTTCTTCTGCTCAGAACAGTGTAAAAAAAAAAGCTGAGCTCTTGTAAGTGCATGTTGTTGCTGAAATAAGTGTGCCTGAAGTATTTTTTAAAAAGCACATCTATAAAATATCAGACAAGGATACTTTTGTATTTTTGTTATTACCTTCTTAAGCTGCATAAAGCTTCCTTCCTGCGCGTCCAGTGTACAGTAAATGTAACCCGTGCTTGAACGAGAAGGCACCAACCACTCTCCTCTGTACGGTAACTGGAACTAATGCTACAAAGAGTACCATGAAAAAAGTGGAGTGAAGTCAGCTAGAAATACACACTGTAAACCCTCTCATGTTTAATGGCACTAACCACAAAGCCATGAGTTCTTTGACGTGCAAGAGAAGTACCGCCAAAACTTGATCTTACTGGGTCCTTTTGCATTTATTTAAAGAAAACTGCTTTTACCTTTTGCCTGCAAACTGCAGCATTGATTGCAAATGTAATGATGAGAATGTATAAGCAGCTACATTTTAAAGCCCCTGAAGACCACAGTTTATCATATTGCTTGTTATGGGGCTTTAGACTTAAGCATGTTATGGAACGAGACTGCAAGCGTGTAAAATCTGTCTACTTTCAGATATCTTGTAAATAAACGGCCAGGCCTCGCAGTTTAAATATACAATATAAATAAAATGTATAGAATTGTTCTTTACAGCAGCACAAAGGCAACCAGTAGATTTTTTTCTCAAGACTTTTGTTTGTAAATGTCATACTTTGGCTTTATTTGCAACAAGCAAATTTACCAATTAAAAAGCACAAAATAAAATCCCATCCAAAAATAATATAAATTTACAGTCCTGTTGCTGCTCAGTGTTCTTAATTTTACTCATTCTTGGTACATTGTGTTTTGTTCATTTGAAGCCCACAGTACAGAGTGCCTTGAAAAAGCCTTTTCCTGGTGTTCAGTCTTTCAGGCCACCATAGAGTTATGTGGCAATTTACCTGCTTTAAAAGAAAATGTAAATTACTCTGGAGAAAAAAAAAGATCCAAGTCCTGTTTTTCTACAATTTGTAAAACTATATGATGGGAAGAAAACGTTAACTTCTCAGGCTCTTGAAATGTGTTCTCTTTCAACCACTCATGTGTTCCGTTACAAAACGACCAACTGTACATATCTCAGCTTCAATAAATAAATGCACAATGCAGAAAACATTGGTTTCGCATTGCTTTCGTGTACAATCTAGTCATGCTCGTAGACTGAAGAGGGAAATTGCTCTGAAGAAGCCACGTCTCCTTGATTATGGAAAGCCTCTTTTCAAAGAAACAGACAGGCAAGAGCTTGATGAAATCACACCAAATTATATCTAGATGCAAATAAGACTCTCCTGTTGCATTTACGATACATAAATGCAATGAAGGTGTTTTTATATTTTACCAAAAATCCACTACCAAAATTACACTTTACCTTACTGGGTCCGCACATTTAAACTTGTTAAAAAAATTATGTTATAGAAACTACCCCACACACACATATATATACAATGTTTAATCATTACCTTCCTAAAACATTCCAAATCTGTCGTATCCATGTGTATTCATTCATCAAAAATGTAGGACAGTAATTAACTTCAAGCAGTAAAAACCACCTAGAAAAATGACTTTGGAGTTTACAGATTTTATTGGTAAAAAGGTGATTTCCATCGTCTGAAATGCATTAGAAAAGTCCACATCTCAATTTCTGACCCATTTCTTCTATACACTGTAATCCTGTAAAAAAAATCCGAGATCCCTCCCCCACTCCAATTCGTCGATCAATACTCTCCTCCCGAGATGCAAAAAAGTAGATCACTTGGACCCTGTAGACAACAAAGCAATGAGGCCAGAAGAAGCGCTGATTGACAAGATGTAGTTTCTGGAGATAATCTGTCAAGGAAGACACTTCAAAAGAATTATATTTCCAGCGTCACAATTACTGAATACTATAAGGGGACTGGATGTGTGTATTCAAACTCCTCAAGGGCAGACTTCACAGTGCAACACAAACCAGGGGACACAAGGGGGAACTATGTGCAAGAGCATTTAGAACTGAGTGCAGGAGGCACTTCTTCGCCCAGATGGTTAAGGGAGCTACACAGCCATGTTGTCAACTATACAAGCTACCCCAGCCATGTTGTTGAAGCTGATATCCTAGTTTCTTTCAAGAAACAGCTGAATGAGATCCTCGATGACCCTCCTCTCATTTGTAACTGTTCTTACAGTGCAACAGATACAAGACCTATTGCCACCTGCTCATACACAACCATTGCTGATGATGGCTTGCAACATCATACTAAAAATATGCATACCCCCTTCTCTGCTTGAAGCAATCAGCTATATTTTGACAGGATACATTAAGAGCAAAAAACACACAGCATGGGTTCTACAACTGTTACCAAGGGACAACCTTTACCCATACAGTACATCAATAGAAATGCTTTCCACTCTGCTCTGGAAACAGAAGAGAAAGGATACACAGTCGGGTTGAAGTTCTTGAGCAGGAAGAAGGAAGCAATGATAACCAGAACCAGGAAAAGTGTATTGTTGTAGAAGATGGAGAAGGTTGTGGCTTCATAATCTGCAACTTCATTCTTCTTCCAGAGGATTCTGTTTAACAAGATTACGGTAAGAAGTGCCTTATACCACTAGCACCAATAGGAACTAGAGGTTAGGCTGCTTTCCTGTACTAGACGGAAACTAAATGGACACCCGTTGCTTTTGTTTTTAATAAGAAAACACATACAGATGCAATTATTTCTAATTATTTTAAGCACCTTGCTAGCTAGTCTACTGCAAAAATATATACCAGTAAATCTAATTATAATCCCATAGACCATCACATCATACACATTAATCCAACATTTTAACTTTCCTGGTCTCTGTATGATGAGATAAGTGTGTACAGATTTTCACCCTCCTATTCGCAGCTTTTAATAAAAGACCACAAATTAAAGGATATGCATACTTGCCTACCACATAAAAACCCCTGAACTGCAAAGATCACTTAGTCCCACATACTGGGACACTACATTATTATTATGGGGCGGGCAGCTTGTCCCTTGCTCTTACTAACCTCTCATCCTTCTCCTTGCGAGACATTCTCTTGTTGTCTGCCTCGGAGAGTTTGCGAGTGACCTCCTTAGAGACTGCATCTTCGCGTTTCTGGGCCACTCTGATGGGAACAAGATGCGCTGGTAATTAACCGATCACAAATCAAATTCATTACTGACTAAAACACAAATATTTTCTGCCGGTACTTAATGACATTGACACTGCAAGGAAACTTGGCCTGAGGCTACTTTCTACTGCCAAGCCTCCAGACACTGATGACAAAGCCATGAAAAACCACTGAAGCACAAACCTTACTGTCATTCAATTAAACCTCTCGTACATGTATTTTAGAGATCCAGTACACTGATCAAATAATTGTATGAGTAGTTTTAATTAGCAATAGTTAGCAATATTCATATAAAATGATTTCAACATTTAAAGAAATCTATGTCCAATCTGGTAGAAGCTGTGTAATGAAAAGATTTGGGATCAGTAGAATAAAAGAAACTTAAAAGAATAAAAGAATAAATAAAAGAATAAAAGAAACTTACTTGTGTTTAAGGACAAATTTGACGTTTTTATAAGCAAAGGCAACCAGGTATGTGCTGACTAGGGTCATGACACTGTAGAGAACTGCAGACTGAACCAAATCCATATGCCATATCCTCCAGTAAAGCCCTAAAAGAGGAAAAAAGATTCAATTGGGTTTGAGTTAACATTCTGTTTTACATCTGTATTAAAATCCATAACGATAGGAGAGGAAACTGTGCAAGTTTGAGAAGATCAAACACCAAATCAAATATGTATGATAGGCAAGAAAAAAAAACGTGACAATCCAGGATTTTTAAAACCAGGTAAAATGCTCCATTGAAAAGGCCTGGGACTGAAAGCTCCTGAAAGTACTATAATTCACTTCTTAGCATCGGCCACATCATATCGACCACTATCCAACAGGCCTTTGCAACTAAAGATGCCAGTCTACTACATATTGTAAACCAGTTAGATTTGCTTTTTCATGCCAATTTGTAATCGGCAGTAGAAACAAAATTTCACCCGACTGAAAAAAACGCACCTAAAAGCATCAGTGTACGGTGTACTCGAAACTCATTAGTGATCTATTGTTGTTTTCGTATGCAGCTTGTACAAACACTACCGCAACTCGAGAACACGGTTCCTGCCACGTTGCACAATGCAGACGCTGAACTAAAAATCTTCCCTCTCAAATATAACGAATATTTTGCCAGACAAAACTGAAAACTGAAATATCCAAAGCTAACCAACGAAACATTGAACAACCTTTATCTTCAGATTGGAAATGCCTTCAAGACAGGCCTCTTGGTCCACAGCAATGTCACTGCTGCTACTACAGAGAAGGAATGCCACATCAGCCCAGCGATAAATTATTGAACTTCTCCATAGCCGCAAAATAAAAGGTTTTGACCGTAACAGCCTACTGCTCGCTATGATCTTATTCCAGATTTTTGAACGTTTTTTCACGCTATGCGTTATGCAAAAAATTTGACTAAATCAAGCTGCTTCATTCACTTACAAATGGGAATGGCGGACACGATAAGGGCATTGCCGTAGAAGAGCGCAGAGGACTTGGCGGACAAATTCCTGCTGAAATCCTGGAGCAGCAGGTCTTCTTCAGACTGCTGTTTGCTGGTACCCTTTGGAGCCATGCTGTATGAATCGGTTCTGCAGTACAAGGCTGACACGTATGAGCTCCGGCTGTGAGACACTGCAGCCCAGACCTTACGCTTCGTCAGCACAAAACCGGAACCGGAAGCAGCGGGACTGGGACCGCCACCAAAATACACAGCTCCGAAGGTGAAACTCTAGATTTTTCCGCGATCTCGATGGCACTGATCGGGGCTGTTCTCCCATCTGCGCATGCGTTGTTTCTATCCGTGTCGCGTGCCTGTAGCGCCACGCCCCTTTGGGCCTGGGGGCGGAGGGAATGTGGACCGTAGGCCGGAAGTGCCCTCTGATTGGACCACACCCGGGAGGCGGGGAGGATTCCGCGAGTGGAATCGCGCATGTCCGAGCCGGGGTTTGAACGACTGGAGGGAGACAAAATTGTTTACAAACGATATTTTAATGTTGTTTTCGATGGGTTAGGGTTAGGGTAAGCTGAAACACAACTTAACATTACATCTTCTTCATCAAAACAAATATCAGTATTGATTTCTTTTTTAATATAAGTCTGCAACTTATATTAAGTTTATATCCTGAAAGTTTATACCCTGGGACATAACAAAAATAAATGCTGAATAGTTTCAGGGCTATTGTCACAAAAAACTCATTTATCTTCTATATTAATTTTAAATCGCTGGATAACAAGAGCCTTAACTGGGTAAATTCGATTAAATATTTTGTATGAAACCTCCTTAACTTTATCAGTAACACAATATTTATTGCGCATCATCCCAATTTTTTTTCCAATCAACACATTTTCCAAATGAGGAATTCCAATATATTGTAAGTAAGTAAATTATCATTTTTCAACAGGGATCTCCAAAATGTGTTACCACTCAAAATGTCCTTTCCTTGTAGTCTAATGTGAGCTGTAAATTCTTCCAGCGTTTCTAAAGAACTACTATTGCAACTCCTTAAAAGAGTTAATATTTCCCCAGAAATCGCGTTAGTTACAGTGAAATACTGATCAAAATTAACAGAGATATTGTATCTATTAACAAACTCAGTGTAACTATATATTTCACCATCAGCATTGATTAATTGTTTAATCCAAATTATACCATTCTTTGACCCAGTTTTCAAAAAACAAGGTTTTATTTCTAACTTTTATATATTTGTTCTTCCAAAACAGAGAGAACTCTGCTACCCTCAAAGAAGTGGGATGTAATTATCTGAGAATAAGAGAAAGGGATCATTTTAAAGTGCTACCAAACAAAAGAGCCACAGGCAGGAATACTCATCTACGTCCATACAGATACAAAACCAGAAACATTCACTATGAAGCCTTATTATCAGGTAATATTATCGGAAGGTAACCATTTACTTGTTTACCAGCCCGTGATGTCACTGGAGCGGTGTCCAATCGCAGCTCACTCTCCATCCAAGCCACACCCACACCCTGCCTCCAGCCCTAATAAGGTCCATCGCTTCTCGAATTGGGGTAGGAAACGATGACGTACTGCTGCTCTGACGCCATCTTGAGTGTGGCAAAAGTATTCACCCTATTACAACACGTGGCTTCTTCAAACAGCTGTCATTCGTCCTATTTTCTCTGAGTAGGAAGGTTTATGATTCCCGTCTTTGCTTTCTTTGGTTGAATACTTTGGGGACTGCGCATAAGTGATAGATCCTAATTTATATTAACAACGAGTAAGAGTTGTTTACAACCCCGTTTAAATGTTTACAATACAGTGTTTAAAACAGTGTTATCGTTTGAAAATGACTCACCAGTAAACGTTAAACTTCAAAAGCTGTTTTTCCAAACATTTTACCACATGTTAAATTACAAAACGGTATGCACTGGAGTTTTAAATATACTTTTCCGTTCAGTATAAGAGATGGGAGCCCGTTTTTGTCACCGGACTGTTTGAAATGAGTTTTGTTGTAGTCTATAAATTCACCACTAGAGGGAGAGCTTTAGCTTCCTGTTGGTATTGCCACGAAGTATAACTGAGCAACGTTTTTTAAATCTAAAAGTTCAAGTAAATCTCAGATTTATCCATCTGCAGAGGATACTAGCTACAATAAATCCCAAACTCTGTGTCCTCGTAATTAGTGTATTACGATAACAGTACTAAAGTCTCATAGTCATAATCATAGTGTTTAAAATGCTAATAAATAAGAGATATTGTGTTCAGCCCTTTTAACTTTAAACGTCTAAAAACACGGGTTGGAGACTCACAATCCAGTAGAGGTTTATAGGTCACCCTTAAACCATCAGTGATGAAACACTTGGAACAATTTTGTTTTTACCACTTAAATAGATTAAATATTCAATCAAATAGTTTAGAAATCATTAGAAATGAAAACATCAGCACCCGGTCTCTCTCAAGGACCCATTTGCTATTCCTGATTGTACTGAACTAATTAACTCGTTAAATTAATCAGAAGTCTCGTGCGGGCCAGCCGATGAGTCACGAGCGACCCCAAAACCTGCCGGGGTGTGGCTTTACGGGACCTGCGATCGACACTGCACTGCAGGGTTAACTAACTAACTAACTAACCAACTAACTAACAAAGAAACGAAATGGTAAAATCAAAGTTAATATCTTCCATGTTTGATGCAATATCAATGTGTCGTTGTAAACAGGACAATATATTATGTAATTGTGGCATTCTCTTTGCTAAAACCGTAAGATTCTAATTTATTTGGAAGAAAGCAGTCACTCCAAGTATTTACTGCTACTACAGTCCAATTGGATCCAGTATTTGAGTGCAGTATGTTATCCCCTAGGGCCCTGTACTGTTGTAGAGTTTCTGAGAGTACTATGTTCCTGATGGGGCCTTTGGACACAATATATGTTTAGAAGGTCCCTGACCCCCTGTATTTCTATATTTCTGAGGGGCTTCATTGTTTTGACTAAAACATGGGTTCCCCTTGTACAGTTGGAACAGCTCCTGTTTTGTTCTGTGGAGTGTGTTTAGACCCATCGGTCTGCTCCTGGGCAGTGAAAAGCTTTCTGCGTGACGCGGTGTTATCACACACATGCAAAAAAACTGAAAGCTGATTGTTCTCGGCTGGGGAGAAATTCTTTTCAAAGATGAGGAATGCATATTCAAATTCTAATTAGTATGCTGGTTGTCGTCACACACAAGAAGAACATGTACTCTGGAATGGATATCGAATGATGCAGCCTTCCCCCACCCCCGTCATTCTGAAAGGTTTGTCAGCTCGCCCCCTCCTCTCCAAACTGCAGAGGCACCAGACAGGAGCCGGGGAGGGACCGTGTAGCTGGCCTTCACCTCCACACCCAGGGAACACTTCTGTATGACTGAGGCCTGGGGCAGCTGACTGCTTTCTGGCCGACGCGGCAGGGAATGGTCAAGCACACAAGCTGCAGTGATCCAGGGAGTGTCGGTGCGTTCCTGGGAAGAGTCTCTCCCGAGTTGAGTTCTTCCTCGTGCAAGCAGCCGGAAAGTGTGACTTGAAAACTGTGTTGGAAGTGGGGGGGGAAAAAATAACTTGTGCGTCAAACCACGTCCAGAGATTATGTTGCATAGACAGATTTTCTCACGCCTCTATCCAGGGTTTAATGGAAATGATGATGTATTGGCTCTATTGAAATAATCAAAAGAGAAAGAGAAAATAATTCACACTTGAGAACGTACTCTGTATTGCACGCACTGTACTGTAATTGTGTGCAGCAGGGCGGCTGCAAAAGTGCTGTATCCAAATTGCCTGTCACGGTAGCGGAGACCTCATCTGACACTAGGGAGACCACATGATTACTGGGCATTCTGCACAGTACAGAGAGCGATCAAACAAGTATTCCAGGAGAAATGTGACCACATTGTCAAACACAGTGGAGAGGATTCTCACCCCATTACCAAATGCACCACAGTCCAACATCTCAGAAGAAAAAAATCGGAACCAAATGGGGCATGAACACGTTATAATAATTAATAATTTCTTACACTTATTTAGTGCTTTTCTGGACACTCCACTCAAAGTGCTTTACAGGTAATGGGGACTCCCCTCCACCACCACCAGTGTGCAGCCCCACCTGGATGATGCGACGGCAGCCATAGTGCGCCAGAACACTCCCCACACACCAGCTATCAGTGGGGAGGAGAGCAGAGTAATGAAGCCAATTCATAGATTATGAACAAAGAAACAACTGTGTGTGTCATGTTTTCTAGCAGTGACGCAGTGGGTAACACTGGGTTCAGGTCCTGGGGTGCTATCTGCGTAGAGTTTGTGTGTTCTCCTTGTGTGCGCCTGAGTTCCCTCAGGGTGCTCTGGCTTCCAGCAGTCCAAAGACATGCTGGTGGGTAAACTAGCTTCCAGGAAACCTGCCCCCCGGTGTGAGTGTGTGTGTCTGTGCTTGGTTCTGCCTTGTGATGGCACTGATGTCCCATCCAGGCTATATCTTGCCTTGTACCCTCTGATTGCCCATGACCCTGCCTGGGTAAAGCAGCTAGAAAACAGTCTTCCAGCAAGTATAATGGCATCAGGTCCCACATTTCTTGAAGATCGCTGAAAGTTGAATTCCATCCATCTTGTAGCAAGTGCTGAAGATCACCGCAAGCTAGAGACTAATGCACTGGGGGCCGGGTTCAGGCTAGGACTAACACTTGGAGTGAGACATCACTTAGAGTCACCAGTTCAGCTGGACAGAGTGCCCTTGGAGTGTAACCAGGGAGACTGGTGAAAATCCACATGGAGAACAGACAAACTCCACACAGAAGGTGCCGCAGGCCAGAATCCAACCCAGAACCCAAGAGCTGTGAGGCAGCACAGGTAACAGACACACCACTGTGCCTCCAGTAGCTGCAATTTTTAAATAAATAAAACACACAGCGGAAACGGGTGGCGTGTCCTTACCATCTTAATACTTTAAACTCAGTTTCCACATTGTTGTGCTGTGTTTGTATAACTACATTTAGTGGGCAAAGAGTTCACAGGAAAGATGGCAGTTTCCATTGCTTAAGTCATTTTTTTTTCTGAGTAACTTTATCCATTTTACAAGCAAATGCACATTGAAATCTGAAGAAATGATTGAACAGCCTTTGTTAGACTATAACATTTGGCATTCAAAATTGAAAGAGATTGTGCAGACTTGCATCCACAAGAAATCCCAAAGTTATTGTTGAA